TACACAAGGAACTATATACACCCAGCTATATACAAGATAAATTGGAGATGAACGCCACAGGAGAGATGTAAGGTATGAGAGGGAGAGAATTCCATACAGAGGAGACAGCCAGTGAAAACATTCACGGTCAGGAGATGGAGGACCAGTGGGAAGTGACATTGAATCACAGAGAACATGGAAGGGAGGAAGGTGTGAGAAGTGGGCTCTATCCTCCCTTAGGGGCCAGGACTTGAGGGGTCTGTGGATGGCTTTTTTTCTCCACCATCATCAGCTTAAGTCCCCACTGCCTAGGTTCACATCTCTGGGGGGATAAATGGGTGAAATAACTAGTACTTTTTTTTGGTTATTATTATCATTATTTTTATCGACATCATCACACTTTAAAATTTCCAAGTGCTTTAGAAATATTATCTCATTTTATCCTCATAACCACCATGAGAGGTAGGTGTTATTATCATTCCATTTTATAGTTGAAGAAATGAAGCCAGACAGAGGTGAAGTGATTTGGCCAGGGTGACACAGCTAGTCTTACGCCAGAGTTGAACTTAGGTCTTCCTGACTCTAGATCCAGGGCCCTATCATTTAACCTCTCAACCCAGAGTAGCATTTACAAAGTATTATTTACTTCAAAGATACAGCAAGGAGAAATATGCCACCTCTTCCCATCCCATCTTGGTCCAAGGGGAGGGAGATTAGGCTCTAAAGTTAGCTCAGTTTTTAAATAGCACCAGTCCCTAAGAGTTCATCACATTCCATGCACCGTGACTACCGATGAACCTGCAACTTCACCTATAGCTGAGCTGGGTTCCCCAACATCCCTCCTTGCTTCTCAGAACATTGATGCCAGGTTGGCTATGAAATTCCAGGATGACAAGAGAGGCTTCATACCTTGGGGCGCTGATGCGGTGCTAACTGCTAATCCCAAATCTATAACACTGTGATGCCAAGGTGCCCTCTGTATCTTTTGCACTCACAAGGTTGCAGGCTCTACTCCTTCTGATGGTTACCACTTGTCTGTACATGGCGCTTCTCCTTGTCAGAATATAGCATCCTCTAGGGTAAGGACTGCTTCACTTTTGTTTTTGTATCACTAGTACTTGGAACAGGAAGGAAGATTAGAAACAAGCATTTATTAAACTCTTGCTACGTACCAATAAACACTGATTAACTGTCTACTGTGTACCAAGGCTGAGTGCTGGGGAATGCAAAAAACAAGCAAAAAGACAGTCCCTGCCTTCAAGGAGCTTACATTCTAATGAGGGAAGATAACGCACCAAAACAAACTGAAATTGCAGGGGGGTTGTAGGGGGAAGCAAAGATGAAGGTACACAGTGCATGGTCTTGAAGTCTGGAAATAAGGGGCAGAACCAGGGTGGGGAACAAGGCTGGCCCACCTGGAACATTCTGCAAGATAGAGGTCCACAAAAGGAATTCACTAGTAGGAGAAGGGGGATAACCTGGGTAAGAAGCTCTGGAAGGGTGATTGGATATTCCAAGCCATGGCTGCAGAGGCCCCAGGCACAAGGTGAAGTTCCATTATAAGACACTGGCTGAGGTATGATTTTGAAGTCTGAAGTCAGGAGCAGAGCCAGGAGGGGAAGAAAGGCTGGCTGGCCTGGCTCCTTCACAAAATGGAAGCCACAGAAGAAACTCAACAATGAGAAAAGAGGGAAGGATTGGCAAAGAGATACTCCTGGGTGAGAAGGCTTCAGGGATAGTTCAGTATTCCAGTGCCTGACACATAATAGGAAATTAATAAATACCTTTGGACTGATTATTCTCTCTCAGGCTCAATTTCTTCATCTGTAAAACAAAGGAGTGAGATTAGATGCTTCATGGTATAACTTCCAAGTCAATATCTATACTCTAACTCAATTCATTCCAGTGATGACGTGCTCATACTAAATATTATTGGAGTATCAGTAACAAGATAACTGGGTCCCATCCACCTCTTCAGAGAAGAAGGAAGACAAATTATAAGAAAACACCAAGGTGGGATCTCAGATGCAGATTGGAAAATGACTATTAGATTTACACAGGGAGGGAAGAAAAGGGAGAAAAAGTTACATGATAACATTATACATTTAAAAGACATAGCAAGTTGTACATAACAGATTTGCAGTTTTGTGTGTATCTTTTTTCTATTCTATACTATGCTATGGAAATGCTTGGGTTTTTTTTTCTTAAGTTTGGAATAAAATAAATTAAAATAAAAATAAAAGATTTACACAGAAATATCTATCTCTAGGTTGCTTTGATACCTTTCCTCCTAAGACTACCTTTACATGCACAACAGTCCCTCTGGGAAGGATTGGGCTGGCTACCAGCAAGGGGACCCAATTTGCTAAAGACTCTGGGGGTTTTATTTCTTGCCAGCTTGGTAAGAGAGGAAGCTAACATTAGATCAGGACCAGAGGGCAGCATTTTCCCTCACAGCTAGTTTGGAAGCATCCCTCAAACAGAGGAGAATAGATCGGAAGAGAGAGAAGGAGGTGGAAGGCTTCCTGCTCACCATTTCCCTACCTCACACATCTTCTACTCCAATACACACACGGGATGGCATAGTGACCATAGCTGCTGGTGGCAGCAACATCTACAGTTTTTGTCCTCAAACCAAGCTTTCAGGGGAAAGCCTGAGATGCAGAAATTAAAGGGACAACATGAAATATATAAGACTTTGCTTTCCATACCAGGTTCTAACTCAAGTGACTGGAATGTTGAGGGAAACACAGTCACTTTTGCAATGGCCTGTTCATGGGTCTGCCTATCACAAGTCTCTTCTCCCTTCCGTCCATCCTCCACTCAGCTGTCAAAATGACATTCCTAGAACACAGGTTGGGGGCAGCTAGGTGACATAGTGGATAGAGTGCCAGCCCTGGAGTCAGGAGGACCTGAGTTCAAATCTGTCCTCAGATACTTACTAGCTCTGTGACCCTGGGCAAGTCACTCAACCCTATTTGCCTCAGTTTCCTCATCTGTAAAATGAGCTGGAGAAGGAAATGGCAAACCACTCCAGCATGTTTGTCAAGAAAACCCCAAATGGGGTCATGGAGAGATTGGAGTCCCTAACTTCTTTAGGATCAAATACAAAATCTTCTCTTCAACTTTTAAAGTCCTTCATAGCCTAGCCTCTTCCTACCTTTCCAGTTTTCTTATACCTTATTCCTCTCCATAGACTCTGCGATCCAGCGACCCTGGCCTCCTGGCTATTCTTCCCATGAGACATTCCCTCTCCCAACTCCCGACATTTTCACTAACTGCAACCCTGTGCCTGGTTCTGTCTCTCTCCTTCCTCATCTTGGCCTTCTGTCTTCTCTGGTTTCCTTCAACTATCAGGTGAAGGACTTTTGCCAAAAGTCTTTCCCAGGCCCCTTTAATTCTAGTGCCTGCCTTCCAAAATTATCTCTAGTTTGTCTTGTATACATCTTGTGTGTACACAGTTGTTTGCATCTTGTCTCCCCGACTGGACAGTGACTGTCTTTTGCATTTCTTGGTACCTCTAGAACTGGACACATAGTAGGAACTTAATGTTTGTCAAAATAACTTGACTGGTGATGAACTGGTGGTCCTTACTCATCCCTGCACACTCCATTTTATTTCAGAGGGTATGATGGGTGCCCTGATTGTGTCCTTTTATTTTGTTCAAGTCTTGCATCTGACTAATCTTTTCTTATTTCTCCTAAACACCTGTGGCCAACCTTGTCCCTTGCGTTTTCATCGTGTCATTTTGTAAATGGTATGAAGGCCACTAACAAAGGACATTTGTGAGAGCCACACAGTACTGGGGGCGTCATCACAAACATTGATGTTTCACAAGCACAATTTCAAGGGCAGAATTACTAGGAACGTTGGGCCCTTAACTCTGTTCCATTATAGCGCAAGACTAAACCTAGTGTGACATCTAGTGGTTATATATATGTATCACCGAATGAAAGGTTGATTTAAAAAACAATTTAAAAGTTCAAGAATAATGCAAGGCAATAGCTTGAAAGAAGAGACACACGTCCCCGACAAAAGAGGTGACCGATCCATGACCACATTCTCCTCTGCTTCCCCTTATTCTGCCCTGATTATCCATCACTTGTGGTGTTTGTATTCAGTCCAATCAGCCATATTTTACGAAGGGTATTCAGTACAAATTTATTAAAGGACATTGACTGTGATGGTGAGAGGACTAGAGACCATCCCAGAAGAAGGAACTGAGGATGTTTTGCTTGGTGAAGGGGAGACTTAACAAGGTTTTAAGCAGTAGAAGGATTGTTATGAATATGAGATTGATGTGTTCTCCATGATGCCAGGGATGGGACTAGAAAGAGCAGAAGTTGCAAAAGAAGCACATTTGGGCTTGATATAAGGAAAATATCCCTAAGATTAAAACTCTGCCAAAGTGGAACGAATCACCTTGGTAGGACGTGGCCTACTGGAGACTGTTCTCTGCCTCTAACCCTGTGCCTGGTCACTGGCTACCCTTCTTCTCTCCCTCCTCACCTGCACCTCCTTCAAGACTCAGATCAACTTTCACTTTCTGTAAGAGGCCTTTTTGGTACCTTCCTCCTAGTGCCTTCCCTGTAAGATTACTTTCCATATACATTATTTATATCTTTTACATTCTTTTATATATATGTAATTATGTATGTTATATATACATATTTTAAATGTGAACATAAAGTTATATCTATACATAATTATGTATGTCTTGTGTTCTCCCATTAGAATGTGAGGTCCTTGAAGGCAGGGACTATGAGGGCCTGGAATACAAGAAATGCTTAATAGATGCTTTTTTGACTGATCGCCTGACTCATGATTCCCACCAATACCACTGGTAGAAGTCTTCAGGCTAAGAGCTTGCCTGCCTACATGCCTGTCTGCCTACCTTGCTTGGCAAGAGCATAATAATCAGCTGTCACCAAGTAACCTTCTGTCTTTTTGGAATGGGAGTCATAATGACATCATGTCTGGGCAGAACAATAAGTGGGCCTCCTAGAATCATGCTGACCGGCTCGAGGACAAGACTTTCAGTTGTTAATTGGGGAAGACTCCCTAGATTCGAAAGTGACTCAGACTTGAAAAAGAAGAGACATGATCTCCACTGGCCCTCTGAACTAAGAACACAGAAGGTACAATTTACAACACAGCCTTCATTCTTCAAAAGCTGGGGGCTGTAGCATATGACCTGATTTGATCAATACTAGGAGCTATGACTTAAAAACACAGATAATCTGAGGTCTTGTCATCTTGTCCTCACTCTCTTTTTCCTATAAGGTAGAGGAATAGTGTTTCAGTCTTGGCATCTTTTTGCTTGTCGTAGGATCAAAGGCATCTTGGCTCCCCCTTCCCTTTCATTTCTCCTCCTCTTCTTTCCCTCTCTCCTTCTCTCCCCATCATTCTCCTTTTCTGAATTTTCTCTCTCTCTTTCTATCTGTGTCTCTGTCTGTGTCTATTTCTCTCTCTCTCTCTCTCTCTCTCTCTCTCTCTCTCTCTCTCTCTCTCTCTCTCTCTGTTTCTCTCTCTCTCTCTCTCTTTCTCCTTTTCTCTCTGTCTTGTTTCATATTCCAGCACTCTCTCTCTCTCTGCCTCTCTATCTCTGTCAGTCTGTCTCTCATCTTTTTCTTCTGTCAGAAGGAGGAGTAATGAGAATAAATCTTTTTGATCTCCCTGGCCCCTGCCACCCTAACTCTCTGCTATGACTTGGAAAATCAATGGTGGTGTCAAAGCAGACCCACCCTGGCTCTGGAGAGGTAATCCATTGTCATATTCCTCTCAGGAAGAACTGTCTCATATAAGGTTATTGTTAACGACTCTGTTTTCATTATATTGGAGTTATTTTGATGATTTGTATACTTGTACTGAGATAGAAAGTTCTCTGATAATTCATGTGCTTGCTAGTCTCCATCAAGTTTTTCTCTCCCTCAAGCACAAGTATGTGTTCATTTAGTGGGGCTGAGCCATCTGGATGTGTGTCGGTCCTAACTGAAGATCTCTGGATCATTGGACTTGGGATGCTATAGTCTTACCAACAGAGGCTTTGTAGTGAGAAGCAGGAAGTAGCGACATAAAGGCTGCATGACCTTGCCCACACGATTGTACAGGTAGGATGAGATTTTCTCCTGAAACCTAATTGCACACTTCAGAAAAATAGCAATATCTAGTCAGAAAACCTGCCATGTAGGACCCAGGAATCCTTACTACAGAAGAAAGGTTCATTTGGGATCTTTATTTCTGATTTGCTACTAATTATAGAACACTACGCCAAGAATGCAGTTCTAGCCTATTCTCCATAGGTCCCCATAACCACAGATTGAATAAATTTTTTTGTAATATATCACTAGAGAAGAGTATTTTCTGGTAGTGGAGAACAGAAAAAAGATTCGGTCCAAGGATTATGGAATAATTACATGTCATGCTCTAACAACAGACCCTATACTATCTGTTATCGAAGGAAACCAATCCACTTGAACTAAGAAAAAACTGGACAGGAACATTTTCAAGTGGTAACCACATACACTATGTTAAATCACTTTTTACATTAAGTACGTTTTTTATTAGAAAGAAACTTGCTAGTGGATTTCTCTCCAATGGTATCAAATTTCTACTATAGATATAGATATAGATATAGATATAGATATAGATATAGATATAGATATAGATATAGATATAGATATAGATATAGATATAGATATAGATATAGATAGATAGATAGATAGATATAGATATATATATCCATATATATATCTAGCTTTGCTCCTTTACTATCTACCAACAAAAAAGGGTTACTTTTTGTCATTGCCTCCATATTGTTGAGAACATGATCTGAAAATGCAACTTACATAGGATCAGCATCTCCTAAGGATACAAATATCCTTTACCACCCATTCAACTCTACCCTCTGTGTACACACCCAATAGGGAGACCATTATCTTAGGCCCCCAACAGTAACAGTGTTTCCCTCCTCCAAGCTGATTCCAGGCAAATGGAAGAGGAAGGGAAGGAAACAAGCATTTATCAAGTGCCTGCTATGCACAAGGCAATGGGCTAAGCACTTGATAAACATCACCTTCGGTCCTCATAACACCCCGGTGAGGGAGATGCTATTATTATCTCCATTTTACAGCTGAGGAAACTGAGACAGAGTTTAAGTGAGAAGAACAAAGTGCTAATCACCCAAGAGGTAGAACTGCTCCAACACACAGATCAAGGATGAGTTAGGAAGAGTACAGAAGGTGAGATTTGGAAGTTTCCTGTTCTAGTTGCCAAACCTTTTTGATTCAGGGGTAGCTAAGTGGTGCAGTGAATTGAGCACCAGGATTGGAGTCAGGAAGACCTGAGTTCAAACCCCACCTCAGACACTGTATAAGCCTGGGTAAATCACTTAACTCTTCTTTGTTTCAATTTCCTCATCTGTAAAATGGGAATAACAACAGCACCTACCTCTCAGCATTGTTGTAAGGCTCAAATGAGATAATAATTGTAAAGCACTTAGCATAGTAAGCACTATTATCATTATCCTATCCCAGTGGGTTTTTCTTTTCCTCTGGAAGAAAATAATAACAATAATAAAAATGAGGTAGAGGCGTTTTGGAGCCAGCTCCAAACAGACAGCCTGTTGTTAAATTTTCACTGTGAGAATCTGCACCTTAGAAGTTCACAAAAATCAGAGCCTGACTTACTGTTTGTTGATTGTCTAGACTTAAGAAAGTGATGGAGAAAATGCTAGAAATGCCGATGAAATTTCGAAGTGTATCCTGCATGCTTGGTTGCTAAACATCTATCAGCACACCACAGAGAATGAGGCAGAAGGGTGTAATGGATAAAATTTGGGGTTTGGGGCCAGAAAGACCTGGGTCCTGTCTCTACCTCTGACACTATCCATGTGATTCTGGAGCTGGTCCTTTATTATCAATTTGTGCCTCAAGCAATTTATCTTCTAAGCCATTAAATGGGTTTTGATCTGCCTTGGGGAAGGGGAGTTCCCATTCTGGGAGTTTCCTAGACCTTATAGGAAGAAGCCACAACTAGCTGGGCAAGTCACTTAACCCTGACTGCCTCAGGAAAAACAAATCACAGACCTTTCAAGCAATAATGATTAAAAAATAACAATAACAACAACTTATAAAGGTTTTAAGTTGGGAAAATGTCCTATGTGCTTTATCTCATTTGAGCATAAAATAGGTAGGTCTTCAAGGTATTATTGTTTCCATTTTACAGATAAGCAAAATGAAGTTCAGAATGATCATTGCCCAGGATACATGCAAGAGTCAGGGGCAGAATCTGAACCCAGGTTCCCTGAACCAGGATCCTAGCATAGAATATGGGGTACTTGATCATAGGATTTTGAGATCTTGAATCTTAGAGATAGAGTCTGACAGAGGACCCATCCCCAAAACATTTTCCAGATCACAGATCTAGAACTTGAAGAAACTGGAAGCAATCTAGCTGAGTCCCCTTATTTTGTGATTGGGGACACCAGAGTCCAAGGACGTTAAGGGGTTTGCCCTAGGTCACATGCATGCTAAGTATGAGGGGTGGAATTTGAACTCAAGTCCTCTAACTTGAGAGCCAATGCTCTTTCCATTGTATCTGTCTGACTAGAACAGAGCAGAAGGAAGGCTTGACTCCAAGTCTCCTAACTTCCTAATTCCCATCCCTAAATTCGTTTCCGGTTTGGGGGTAAACAAACTACTGGGTGATGCACAGTCATTGTTTCCTTTGGGATATGCTTATAGACACACACTTGTCTCCCCATTTGAATGTAAGCTCCCCGAGGACAGGAACAGTTTCTCTTTCATCTTTGTATCCCTAGGGCTCACCACAATACCAGACACTAATAGGTGCTTTAAAAGCCTTGTTTAATCCCAGTTCCATAAAGCAAGCCTTTTCCATTTATTTCCCCAGATCCTCAAGGGCAATAAAAAGCTGGGGAAGAAGGGGAGTCTCTCTTCTTTCTCCAGAAAGCAAAACACAGCAAGACACAGAGTGTGGCAGCATTAATTGGCTTGGAAATCTGCCAGGCAAAGCTGTAGACCTGTACATATGAGAATTGCTAAGGTAGATCTGCTAACCTGCTCAAGTCTATTTCCGTTTTAGAAACAAAAAACTGAGAAATGTAGTCACAGGAAGCAACAGTAGTGCTGGGACACTGTTCATCGGTCTTACAGCCTATGGGTAGTGTACCATGGAAGAAAGAGCATTGCATTTGCAGTCCGAGGCCCTGGGTTCAAATCCTGACTCTCCTGTTTACTGCCTGAGTGATCTTGGGCAATTTCCTTCACTACTCTGATCCTGAGATTCCTCATCTGTGGGGAGGGAGTTGCATTACATGAAAATGGGGTAGAAAAGATAGGAACCTTGAGAAGAAAGTGATCACTCCAACTTTGAGATTTAGAAAGTTAAGCATAGTCTGAAGTACACCCTTGATTTGCCGAGAACAAATTTCAAAAGGTCTAAAGCTAACATTTTAATAGTACTAACATCATTAACTGGATGGCTTGTAGACGTCTTTAATTCCACATATCCAAAGCAGAGCTTAATATCTTTCCCCCAAAACCCTTCGCCTCCTCCCAGTTACCCAGGTTCACAATCTTGGTGTCAATCCTTGGCCTCCTCACCATCACCCCTGTTATCCAATCAGCTGTCAATTCCTATTGTTTCTACCTTCTTCATATCTTTCACATATGCCCCCTTCCCTGCTCTGACACCTAGCTCTCGGGTACAGGCCCTCAGATTATCACAAGAGCCTGCTGGCTGGTCTCCCTTTCTTCTCTCCTAACACTCCAGTCCAACTTCTACTCACTTGTGAAATTGATTTCCTTAAGTATGGAGAGGACCATGTCACTTCCCCTTTCAAAAAATCCCCATGACTCCCTATTAGCTACAGGGACAAATATATGATCCTCTAAATTTGGCCCTTTCTACTTTTCTAGTCTTCTTTACACCTTACCTGCCTCTATACACTCCACACTCCAGTGACACTGGCCTCCTGGCTGTTCCTTATGCAAAACACCCCCAACTAAAGGCATTTTCACTGGCTGTCTCCTGGGCCTGGATTACTCCCCCTCCTCATCTCTGCCTCTGTACATCTCTGGCTTCCTTTAAGAATCAGCTGGAGACTCACCTTCTGCAAGACTTTCCTAATCCTCCTTCATCTTGGTGCCTTCCCTGAGAGAGTGCCCTCAATTTATCCTGTCTATACCTTGTTTGTTTGCATGTTTTCTTCCCTATTAGACTGGAAGGTCCTTCAGAGTAGGAACTGTTTTTGTCTGTCTTTGCACACCCAGAGTTTAGCGTAGTAGTGCCTGGTACACAGTAGGCTCATAATAAATGTTAAATGACTAATTTATAAAGTTCTTTAGGATTTATAAAGTACTTCGCACAGATCATCTTATTTGATCTTCACAACAACCTTATTAGGTAGGTGCTGTGATTATCTTTATTCTGCAGATGAGGAAACTGAGGCATAGCGAAGTGACTTTCCCTGGGTCATGCAACCAGCAAGTGATTGAGGCTCTAGGCATTCTCTCTGGCTGCCCCCCTGACCTGGAAAATACTTTCACTTTCAGTCCAACTACTGACCTCCCTGGGTTCCTTTAAATACCAACTAAAATTCTACCTTATACAGGAAGCCTTCCATTTTCTTCTTTTTGTTAATTATTTCCTATTTATTCTATATATAAGTTTGCTTTGTATATATTTGTTTGTGTGTTATCTCTTCTATTACATTGTAAGTTCCTTGAGGGCAGGGACTATATTTTGCCTCTTTTTGTATCCCCAGCACTTAGCACAGTGCCTGGTATACAGTAGGCATTTAATAAATGGTAATTGGTTGATTGGTGTAAAATGTGAATTTAGGTCTTCCAGAATCCAAGGCCAGAACATAGGTATCTACTACATCCTCTAGCAGTCTAAAGGAAGAAGATAATTCTAAAGACCAAAAAGAAGGAAAAGACAGAGATGCCTTGAAGTAAATGTAGGTTCACAAAGAACTCACCAAACAGTTCAGCTTTGGAAGCAAGGGCAGGTGACGAAGGGTGCGTGTAAAAGTGAGACACTGTCCACTAAGAATAGTGTAGGGCAGGAGTCCAAGACCTTCCGA